CTCCATGGTGGCACTATTCCAGAGGCGTGGAGCAGAAGTGGGGTGGTCTTGTTCTTTAAGAAAGGCGACAACGCTCTCTTGAAGAACTACAGACCGATTTCCCTTCTGAGCCGCGTCTACGTGCTGTTTTCGAGAGTCATTACGAATCGTCTCGCACGCAGACTTGACGACTTCCAGCCTCCCGAACAAGCTGGTTTCCAAAAAGGCTTCAGTACCATAGACCACATACATACCCTGCGGCAGATTGTACAGAAGACTGAAGAGTACAATCTGCCACTTTGCCTGGCGTATGTGGACTATGAGAAAGCCTTTGATTCCGTCGAAATTTGGGCGGTGCTACAGTCCCTTCAGCGGTGCCAAGTTGACTGTCGGTATATCGAAGTGCTGAAGTGTTTGTACAGTAGGGTTACGATGGCTATTGAGTACAGAACCAGAGCTCGAAACCTATCCAACTGTAGAGAGGTGTAAGACAGGGTGACGTTATATCCCCGAAACTCTTCACCGCTGCATTGGAAGACGTTTTCAAGCTACTGGACTGGAAAGGATACGGTATTAACATCAGTGGCGAGTACATCACTCACCTTCGATTTGCCGACGATATAGTCCTTATGGCAGAATCGCTGGAGGACTTAAGCACTATGCTCAATGACCTCAATAGTGCCTCCCAACGGATAGGTCTTAAGATGAACATGGTCAAAACAAAGATCATGTTTAATGTCCATGTCACACCTATGCCGGTAGTTGTTGGGAGCACTATGCTCGAAGTTGTTGACGAGTACGTTTACCTGGGACAAATAGTCCGACTAGGTAAGTCCAACTTCGACCGAGAGGTCAATCGACCGATTCAACTCGGCTGGACAGCGTTCGGCAAATTACGACATATCTTCTCGTCAGGTATACCTCAATCTCTAAAAACTAGATTGTACAACCAGTGCGTGTTGCCAGTGACGACTTACGGATCTGAGACGTGGTCCTTCACTGCTGGCTGTATGAGGACGCTCAAGGTCGCTCAGCGAGCTATGGAGAGGGCTATGCTCGGAGTTTCTCTGCGTGATAGACTCAGAAATGAGGATATCCGCAGTAAAACCAGAGTGACCGACATAGCCCAACGGATTAGTAAGCTGAAGTGGCAATGGGCCGGCCATATAGCTCGAAGAACCGATAACCGATGGAGAAGAAAGGTTCTCGAGTCGTAGCCTCGTACCGGTAGGCGTAGTGTAGGGCGACCCCCCACTAGATGGCGTGACGACCTGGTAAGATATGCAGGAAGTCGATGGACGCAGGTGGCTCAGGACCGTGCTTTGTGGCATTACTTGGGGGAGGCCTATGTTCAGCAGTGGACTTGTGAAGGGCTGTAATGATGATGATGATGAAGAATACAAGTACTGCGCGGGATTTGAACTCGCGACCCTTGATCTATGGTTAATTCCTCAACTCAATGCTGAGCTACTGCGCCATAGAGTCGTCAAATTCATCAAAAGATTGATATAATAAGAAGAGTCTACAAACTTCCCACTGCTGAGATCGAGTATGCTATTTTATAAATTATGTTATCAATCGTTAAATGGAGTAGGCTCATCACATACATATGGAATTCCATTTCGGGATTCCGTTTCGGAATTCCGATTCGGGATTCCGAACGCAGCAAATCCATATAAAATCAATGTCCCGTCACACACCTACGGTAGTTTTCCGTACGGAATTTTGCAGGAAAAACGGGATTCCGTCTGTGTGTGGCCGACGCGTTCGTTGCGTTTCGGCATTCCGAAACGGAATTCTGTATGTAGTGTGCGGGCCTTAGGCCCACTACATACTACATACAGAATTCGGAAACCCGAAATTTGAAAATTATTATTTAGGCAGGCCACATACATACGGAATTCCGTTTCGTAATTCCGATTCAGATTTCCGTACATACATTACACACATACGTTTTTTTCCCGTTCGGAATGACAAGGTTTAGTTGAGTGATGTCAGCCATTGAATACAGATATTCAGCCAGTGAATATGGACGACGATATTGCGATTGCCTTGTTGTTGTATTTAGCCAAGAAGAAAAAATATTGCCACCGTTACTGGGTGCATCCCCTTAACACCCTAAGATTACATGATAGCCAGTATTATGTAAAAAGAGCCAAATTACAAGCCTATCCAGAATTTTTTATAGGATAGGGTGACAAACGAGCACACAGTCCACCTGTTGGTGTCATCTATCCTCGATTACAAATCAGAATTTTTTTTTTATAGAAGAGGGGGCAAACGAGCATGCGGTTCACCTGATGTTAAGTGACTACCGCCACCCATGATCAACCGCAACACCAGGGGAGTTTCAGGTGCGTTGCCGGCCCTTTAGAAAGGAGTCAGCTCTTTTCTTGAAGGTCCCTAGGTGTCTCAAATAAATAAATACTTAGATACAATAAATAATTAAATAATGACATAAATAAATGTAATGTAATACATATGTACTTGTTATATTACAACAGTATTTTAAAATGCAGAGTGCAAAAGTTGAAAGAACAGACTAATCTTCCCGTTTGATTGTTACGATCATAGCATTGAAGATGAGTAGTGGTCAAGTAGGATGAGAAGGGATTTACTAGAATTTTACCAGCAATAAAATCGTGTTCTCTTGGCCCCGACGCGACAGGGAGGGATTCTAGAATGTTAAATTTTTATTAGCCCTTCCGAGCGAAATATAAAAAGCAGACAATTCTGAACGTATATTTTATAGCAATGTCTCAATCCATTTCTGACATTGAAGTTTTATTTTAATGATTTATTATATTTATGCGAAAACTACACTTTAAATAAAAATAAAACTAATTAACTAATTTTTTTTTTATAAAAAAGTCGATGCTCAGTCCATAGACATCTAATTCGATTTCCTCATCTATCCACGATTAAGAATCAAAATGCAGATGTTCTGAGGACTTAGTTGGAGTGACTCGTTACCAGTGAAAAGTGTCTCCGGTTCTGTATACTAACCATACGAACACAGCATTACTCTGCTGATTATGGCCGGTATTCTGTGAGACCGCGGATTTTCCCCAGTCGAGAATACTTATTCATGGCTCTAATACGTTAAAAAATGGTTACTGCAGCCTAGCTTTTAAATTTACAACTTTTCTTTTGATTCTCTTTGTTTCTATAGAATATAATAGAATAAAATAATTGTTATGTATGCTTATTATAAGTTTTTATTTAATTTTACCACTGGTTCTTCTATGGTGGTGCCATAAAGCGCTCGAAACGTCGTGATCTAAAAAAATATAATTAAAGTCCTATTTCAATAGAATTTCTACTTTTAGTGTCTAACCACAACTGCATTCACAAGATAAGTTATCACACGTACTTAATCAGTTGTATAGTCGTTCTATTTCACGATGAAGGTTTCGCCTTGATTGTAGTAGTGACGTGTACCGATAGGCTCGTTTGTGTGTGTGACTGCGATTCGTTCGACTCGCGATCGTGACCGAGCGCTCCCGAGGCCGACGCACACTAACACAATGTGTATGTACGGCTAACAACAACCAAAGTCAAACCTTCGTCGTGAAATACAATAACTGTACTACACGGAGATTCAAAATTATACATAATTTTTATTTTTGTAGACTATATAGAGTTTGCGATATTAAATTTGTATAGAAATGTGTTGTAAAAAGGCTTAAGAAAATTAATATTCTCTTATTTTTGTTAATCCTAAAACTATTTTAAATCTTTATTCTAGTAAGAGTAGTTTTTGTTTATATACTACATTGTACGTCTCTCTCCTAGGTGCCCATATTGGTAGATACCACTCTCTTACTTATTTCTTGAAGCAGCAATGCCCTCACTGCTGTGTTATATATTATAACACACATAATTGCAGTCTTCTATAACTGAATTGGAGTGTCTAAGGTCTTCAGTAGCTACTTAACAAAACTTTTAACTTGTCACTCTAATCTCTTGAAAATATTAAAATATTATTTGAAAACTTTTCTATGATGTAAAAACATTAAAACTTATCAAATACTGTTGGTCATGTAGTGCCGGCGTAAGAAACTCCATCACCCTATATTGTTCCGAAGGTATCGTTACAGAGGAAGCTGCTGATGCACGAGATATACATCAGCAGCTTCCTGATAACTGCTCAAAATAATAAAAATGTGTGGTTGCCAGTGGTGGCTGCAGAAAATATTTCCCTTCTGCAGCAATCTATGGGAACAGCTTCCGTTCAGTAGAGGACTTTTGTTAGGCCGTAATTATGATAATAATGATGAAAGCTACTTGTCATTTGGATGACATATAAAGTTTTTCAACACGCACTAAAGCGCGGTGGCGGACTTATCGCCCCAAAACCCTCTCATGTATGAGAGGAGGCCTGAGCGCAAGTGTTCCAACTGGTCAGTTCAGATGGATCTTTTTTTCAGGTATACAACGGAATGCCGGCGATTTACAAGAGCAGTACGGAACTTTGTTTGAAATATATATATATATATATATATATATATATATATATATATATATATATATATATATATATATATATATATAATTGAAGTGTCTGATGCAAAATCGAAATAGTTGCCTTTTATCAAAGAAAACATAGACTATTTTATTGAGCTGACAATTTTAAAGGACATGAATAATCATCAAAAAAATGTATTTGTATATCTGTCTGGGATAATCTTCTGGATGGATAAAACGATTGTAATGAAATTTAACGAATAGATAGAAATTTCAGATTTTTTATTTAAAAAAATCGAAATGTTTACAAAATCAATGATCTTTGATTATATTAAATGCAAAAAACGCCACATTAATTAATTTGGTGACATGTAACTCATGTATTTATTATAAAACCTATCATAGGCACCAGTTTCTCACAACGTTAGGTCCTTACTACTTTGTTATTGTTAACTAGCCAGTAAGAAGTTGTGAAGAGATGAATAAATAAAAAAAATAGTAGATCCTGCCTAGGCAAAGCCGGGCCGATTCGCCAGTACTTAATAATTTTATACCTCTCGGCGTCCTGGTGTCCGGGAGGGTCATCCAGAGCGGGAAGACTATTGGCGCGACCAACAGGTACGTTAGCCGCTTGCGGAAGCCTGAGGGCCACGACATGTCCAGCGGCGTCGTGTCATCCTCGAGGTCTCCTATCTGAAACAGAAAGGAGTTTAGTCACATTGCTAATGTGTGTGCATAATAGTTACCGAATAGTGGCTGTGTAAGAATATCCAATACCCCATATACGGCATGCCGTGGGTGTCGTGAGGGGTGACAGCGGGAAACAAATCAGGAGATGGGCAGCCACGTCTTCTTAATAACGACTAAAAATAAAAAACTTCGGTTACCAACCCGCTCGCCAAGCAACTATGGCAAATATAATAATAATAATAATAACCGTCGGAACTTCTCCGGCCATAGAGCCAGGATAGACTGTACGGTTAGAGACTTCCTCGAGCAGTGTATGGGGCAGTGGAGTTCGATCCTTTGTCATCTGGGCGAGCGGATGATGGCTGCGGAGAATCACATAAGGATAAGAAGGGGTATCTTCCAGGGCCATTGTCTGAGTCCAATCTGGTTCTGCCTCTCTCTGAACCCTCTCAGTACCTTACTGGAGGGCTCCGGTAGGGGATTTCAGCTACGGAAAGGAGGGACAAAAGTGACCAACCTTTTCTATATGGATGACCTTAAGTTATTCGCCTCCAGTCGCTCCCATCTTATGGAATTGCTAAACATCACTTGTGAATTTAGCAATTCCATTGGAATGGAGCTGGGGACGGATAAGTGTGCGGTCCTCCATGTTGAAAGGGGAAGGGTTAGTAACTCTGAGGGCGTAGACTTATCTATGCCCGTCAACTTAAGAACCCTTTCCGAGGCTGAAACATACCGATACCTGGGTATGTCACAGAACATCGGTATCGATGAGGCTGGTATGAAACAGTCAGTTTGCGACATGTTTTATGCACGCTTGACCAAAGTGCTTAACAGCCTTTTGTCCGGTGTGAATAAGGCACACGCATAATATAACGGCTGGGTCATGCCTGTCCTCATGTATACCTTTGGCATACTCAGATGGACTCAGACTAAACTTGACGCCCTGGATAGAAAAGTCCGCACTACCATGACGTCCCATAGGATGCATCATCCGAGATCGTCGGTAATGAGGCTGTACTTGCCGCGAAAGCATGGTGGGCGTGGCTTCCTGAGTGCGCTCACCGTGCATAATCGCGAAGTGTGCAGCCTACGTGATTACTTCCTGGCGAGATCGGATGATCCATTCTATAAGGACGTCATTTCTTGTGATAAAGGACTTACCCCTCTATCCTTAGCCAAGTGAGACCCGGCAGTGCAGAGCATTTCCGACCGGGAGACCGTATGGCAGGAGAAGGAGCTCCTCGGGAGGTACTACAAGGCTCTATACATGAGCCTTTTGTAGACGCAGTAGCCTCCCTCCACTGGCTACGCTTTGGTGACCTCTTCAGGGAAACCGAGGGTTTTGTTTGTGCAATACAAGATGAGGTTATTAAGACCAACAACTATCGGAGACACATCCTAAAGGATGGCACCGTCGACATCTGTCGACCTTGTCGCGCCCGGTGAGTCACTTAGGCATGTCATCTCTGGTTGTTCGGCGCTTTCTAACTCTGAGTACTTGCACAGACACAACCTAGTAGCCAGAATTCTTCACCAGGAGCTTGCTCTGAAATACGGTCTCGTGGATCGGAAATTGCCGTATTACAAGTACTTGCCGGAAGCCGTGCTCGAAAATGATCGTCAGGCTCTATTGGGACCGGGCCATCATCACAGACAGGACTATTCTTGCGAATAAGCCTGATATTGTGCTGATGGACCGGGCACAATCAAGGATATTTTTGGTCGACATTACCATTCGTGAAACCTCGTGAAACCTAAACAGATATAAAATAAACGAACAAAATATCTGGACCTGGCTCACGAGGTGACCGACATGTGGGGTGGTTTGCCGACCGAAATTATTCCTGTAGTCGTCGCTGCAAACGGGCTAATCCCAGTCAGCCTCTTGGGTCATCTGAGGCGGCTGGGACTACGTGGCGGACCGCTCCTGGCTCAAATGCAGAAGGCGGTGCTCCTCGATACCGCCCGCATTGTCCGCCGGTTTCTTTCCCTTTCCCCCTAACTCTCGGCCGTTTGGTCTGCCCTGCTTTCAGATGGTTGGGCTTTTATTTATTTATGTATTTTTATATTTATTTAATTTTATTGGTATTTATGTATATTTATCTTTTCATTTCCATTTATAATTATGTATTTATAGAACCCAACCAGATGAGAAAACTATATTGATACCCCCAAAATAATAATAATAAGCTTTTTATTTGTCTCAGTTTACACATGTTATTAAAAATTTACAAATAGAAATCATCACAAACTTAACTTAGAAACATACTTAAGTAACATAACAGTAATGAGACAAACTGGCCTGTGACTCAGCTATGTGGTGATTTTAGGTCACCGCTGGTATTCTGCCACAGCCGACTATTTTAAAAAACACAGTATATTAACCTAATTTTGGCATTGACGTAATACAACTAAAGAATAGACTAAAATGTTTATTCATATGTGTTATGCAAATTTAGTAAGTGGTAGGTAAAGGAGACAATCGCCTCTGGGCCTACCAGAAACTTCAACGACTCTCAATAGTATTAGTAACTACCTCCAACTTTTGTTGTTCAAGTAACCATACTTTACATTTCTTTCTAAATAAATTTGTATTTACGATCTCCTGCATAGGAGGAGGTATATTGTTCCAAATTTTTGAGGCAGCATATTTGAAACATCCTTTTGCTTTAACACGCTTATAAGTTGGAAGTATATATTATAATAGTTTACCCCTTTGTCTCAAACGTGTTAGTAGACATTTTGGAGATAATTTTTCATATAAATAATGAGGACATTGCGAATTATTTAATGAGTGTACGAAACAAGCATATTTTAATTTTCTAGTGTAACTCATACTTAAAATATTATTTTTGAGGAGATAAGAAGTTATGTGGTTAGTCCTACGTATGTCAAAACAATAGCGCATACACGCATTTTGAACCCTTTGTATTCTCCCTACGGTTTTCTGTGAGAGGCAAGGACCATATACCAAGTCACAAAAATGCAAATGTGACAAGACAAGACTATTACAAAGACGGAACCGGATGTTTGGTTTCAGAAAAGAACGAATTTTGTAAAGAGATTTTAAAGACCCAAAACATTTTCCTATTTTTTTTTGTACGTGTTGTACAACGTTATCCATATTAAGGTCCAAGTTACGAATGCAATTATTTCTAGGAATGGTTGCGTCATTGATCATGACAGTTGGGTCAATTTTTTTGATAGCTGCAACCTGATGACGTGTACCCATAATTATACATGTACTTTTTTTGGGATTCAGAAGCAAGCCATGAGACTTTGACCAATACTCTATTAATTTTAGATCATTATTTAAGCTGGTAACCGCTGTTGTAATACTGTCTTTTGTTGGTGGCATATGGACGTACAATTGAGTGTCATCGGCATAAAGGTGATATTTGGAGTCCTGAACTACGTTTTTTATGTCTGTTGTGTATAAGGCGAAGAGTGTTGGGCCAAGAATGGAACCTTGAATAACGCCTTTAGAAATTGATAGGGGCTCCGAAATATCAATATTACCTTCAGTATTAGTGCATTTTACTTTTTGACTCCGCCCGTAGAAGTATGATTGAAACCACGAACATGCCATTTCGGAAAATCCAAAGATTTTTAATTTTGCCGGTAAAAGTGGTATATTAACGCAAACAAAAGCTCGAAAAAAATCAAGTAGCAATAGAATGGTACCTTGTCCATTATCAGTGGCGGTAAGAATATCGTCCGTAATGTGTAATAATGCTGTAGTTGTGGTAAATTTTTGCCGGAAACCCGATTAGACTGTGATTAGCTACACAGAATTAGGACTTAATTTTTTTAAACTATCCACGTTAAAAATATGAATACACTCAGATTTTTCTGTTTTCCGCACAAAATTTTTTCCATTTTTGCCCCAGACAAACCTGAAGCCTAGTTCTTTTGCACGAGCCCTTGCTGCAGCATGCAATTCTTTGTTATTAGCCGTCAGATGTTCTGCTATATAAATCGTTTTCGGTGGATCAGATGCAATTCCTAGTAGGCTGGTGTTGAGCTTACTCTTACTTTCTTTGTTATATTTACTTGCACTGGCAATGAAGGAGTCACGTATACGCTGGTTATTAAATCTTACAAGAACTGATCTTGGCCTGGTGCTTTGAGGATTTTGTTTCGAAATTCTTATACAGTGCGAGATATCGGTTTCGTTAATATTACAATTTATAACTTTTACTATCTGAACAACGGTATTTAATATGTTTTCCTCCTTATTTTCTGGTAGACATTGTATTTCGATGTTACACGATCTAGCAAATTGTTCCATTATGTTTAAATTATTCCTTATACTGTGAACAGAAGCTTTCAATTTCTGATTATCAACTTCAAGATTTTTATAATAATTGATTTTTCTGCAAGGTTTCTTTTCATTTCTTCGAACTTCTTCTATTAAAAAAAGTATCGATTCGTGGAAAATGGCAATTTGCTGTTTAATTATCTCCAACTGTTCCGATACTTGCACTTGGATTACTGATTTTAGAGCAGCCGTTATTTCCTCCTTAATGATTTTCTGAAAATTTTTAATATTTAACACAGTCTCTGAATCTAAGTCATCAATAATAAATTTTTGGGCTGTCCACATAGTGACATTATTGTGGTCATGATTATCCTCAACATTCTCGTGGGCATCCGATATTTCAGAAACTATGTTAATATGTTGCGTATGCACCGGTGTGTTAGTGTTATCACATTTTGGTTCTTTATTGCGACAACCATAATATTTCCACGATTTTTACTGTCTCTGTTCATAAGTTTAAATCGTTTTGCAGACACGTTTGCGCACAATAAATCGTAACAGAGACCACAATACGCGCATTTCAAATATTCACGACTTTTGATTATATTTGAACAACCTGCACATTTGCTTTTCGAGTTACTATTTGAATCCATTATAATATAAAATATGAATATTTTTCTATGACTAACAATTGAAAAAAGTATTACTCTGGTAGGGCTCGAACCGGGTTCTCCGAGAT